TGAATTTTACATGTTTGTTTACCTTTTAAGTTCTCGATGTCTGCAAAATTTAGATGTTTTTTGTTATTTTACATTTTCTGGAAACAAACAAGACCTATTTTTCTAATGGACACGCATCTGCCATTCATCCTTCATTTATCGCGTAGGTGCATGACATAAATAAAGTGGAATCTTTATCCATCCCATTACCCATTAATCTTTCCTTTGAAGCCTCCACATCCCGAGGCACCGGAGATTCGGAGTCTGACGCCAGCAAAGGACCGAAGACATGTGGCGTCTGCGGAGACAAGGCCAAGAGCATGCACTTCGGAGGTGGGTGTGGGAGGGAGGGGGAGGGAGGGGGAGACGGAGGAAATACATATATGTGTGTGTGTCTGTTATATATATTATGTATATATATACTATATAGTATTATATAGAAGAGAGAGAGGGAGAGAGAGAGAGAGAGAGAGAGATTGAGAGAGAGAGAGAGAGAGAGAGAGAGAAATAAACACACCACACACACACACACATATATATAGAGAGAGAGAAGGAGGTGTGTGTGTGTGTGTTATATTTTATGTATGTGCGTGTGTGTGTGTGTGTATGTATATATATTATATATATATTATATATATATATATATATATATATATATATATATATATATATATAGAGAGAGAGAGAAGAGAGAGAGAGAGAGAGAGAGAAAGTGAAAGTGAAAGAGAGAGATAAAAAGACAAACAGAGAGATAGAGAGACAGAAAGAGACAGAGATAGAACCTAATAACAATACAAACATCACACGAAACACACGCACCACCCACGAAAACTGACCCAACTGAAATGACCTTTTCCTCCCGACAGGTCTGTCATGCGATTCGTGCAAAGCTTTTTTCCGTCGGGCTGTTCACAACGACGCTTTCACCAACTTCACTTGTCCGTATGATGGGAATTGCGTCATCAACATTGCGTCGAGGAAATGCTGTCAATATTGCAGGTTTGTTGTTGCAGTGTCTGGGGAAATGTTGAGTGTTGCAATGTCTATATTGGAATGTGTTGCAATGTCTTAAGAAAATATGCTGAGAATGTTGAATGTTGCAATGTCTATGCTGAAGATGTGGAATGTTGCAATGTCTAAAAAAAATTGCTGAGCAATGTGAATGTTGCAATGTCTGGCTGTGGAAATGTTGAATGTTGCAGTGTCTATGCTGAGTGTTTCAATATTTTTGCTGAAAATGTACAATGTTACAAATGTGCTGAAAGTGTGGAATGTGGCAATTTATGTGCTGAAATGGTGAATATTGCAATGTCTATGCCAAAAATGTTGAATATTGCGAGGTATGTGCTGAAAATGTTGAATGTTGCAATGTCTGTGAAAATGTTGAATGTTGCAATGTCTGTGTAACCTGAATGTTGCGTCTGTGAAAATGTTGAATGTTGAAAATGTTGAATGTTGCAATGTCTGTGGAAATGTTGAATGTTGCAATGTCTGTGAAAATGTTGAATGTTGCAATGTCTGTGAAAATGTTGAATGTTGCAATGTTCTTGTGAAAATTTTGAATGTTGGCAATGTCTGTTTGAAAAGTTTGAATGTTGCAATGTCTGTGAAAATGTTGAAATGTGAATGTTGCATATGTCTGTGAATGTTGCAAATGTTGCAATGTCTGTGAAAATGCTTGAATGTTTCAATGTCTGTGAAAATGTTGAATGTTGCAATGTCTGTGAAATGTTGAATGTGTGCAATGTTTGTGAAAATGTTGAATGTTGCAATGTCTGTGAAAATGTTGAAATGTCTGTGACTGTTGAATTTGCAATGTCTGTGAAAATGTTGAATGTTGCAATGTCTGTTGCCAAAGTCCGTTGAATGTTGCCCAATGTTTTGTTGCTGAATTTGTCTGTGAAAAATGTTGAATGGTGCAATGTCTGTGAAAATGTGTGTGCAATGCCTGCTGCTGAAAATGTTGAATGTTGCAATGTCTGTGCTGAAAATGTTGAATGTTGCAATTGTGCAGAAAATGGTGAATGTAATGTCTGTCTGTTAAAAACTTGAATATTGCAATATCTGTCTGTGAAAATGCTGAATATTGCAATGTCTGTTTGGTAAAATGTTGAATGTTGCAACTGTGCTGAAAATAGATATTATTATTATTGAATTGGACTGTATGATTTTTTATGATCTTTTATTTGATTGATGTATTTTCTTATTCATTGTTTATCATTCATTTATATTTATTGATTATTAGTATTAATGTTGAATGTACTGTATGGTTATCTGGAAATTTTTTGAAAGAAATAATTGATTTATTTAAATATCTTAAAGCAGTGAAATATTTATTTGATTTTTTATTGGCACTTCGGGTATATAAATTAAATTATTTTATATAAAAAAAAATAATAATTGAAATTAATTGATTGATTATTAATTAATTAAATGAATAAATGATGCATTTTACAAAGTTATCAATCGAGCATTCAGTATCATCAGACAATGAAATTATTAATGACGAATTTAAACCAAAATCATCTATGACTTATAATAAATATATATATATGTATATATATATACTTATTATATATATATATATAGATATAATTAATATATATATTTATTGAAAACATTATATTCCTCCAGGCACCCAATGGCTTTATTTTTTTTATAATGTTATTCCTCATTTATTTGTTTGTTTGCTTGTTTATCTACCAATTTATTTATATATTTGTTTATTCATTCATTTATTCAACCATCTATACACTCATTTATTTATTTAGAGATTTATATCTTTACTTATAAATTCATTCGTCTATAAATATGTTTATTTTTATTTATTTCGTTTTCATTTTTTAAGATACAAGAAATGCAGTAGCATCTCTTTTATCCATTCATTAAATCTCCAATTTATTTCTCTCTCTCCCTCTCTCTCTCTCTATCTATCTATCTATCTATCTATCTATCTCTTTATGTACAGGAAATGCATCTCTATATTCATTCACTCATAAATCTCAATTTATTGATTTATTTATTTTCTCCCTCTCCCCCTCTCTCTTTCTTTTCATTTTCTACTTCATTCTCTCTCTCTCTCTCTCTCTCTCTCTCTCTCTCTCTTCTCTCTCTTCTCTCTCTCTCTCATTCCCTTTTTAGGTACAAGATTTCAATTTTCATTTTCCTATTTCATTTCAATTTTCTAATTACATTTTATAGTTATTCTCTCTCTCCTCTACACCTCAATTATTTCAGGTACAAGAAATTTCTCTTTTACATTTTCATATTTAATTTAATTTATTATTTTTTAATCTTCTCTCTCTCTTTCCCTTTCTATTTCATCTTTATTTTTAGGTACAAGAAATTCACTCATAAATCTTAATTTGATTATTTATTTATTTTCTCTCCCTCTCTCTCTTTCTCTCTTCATTTTCTATTTCATTACATTTCTCTCTCCCTCTCTCTCTCTCTCTCCCTCTTTCATTTTCTATTTCATTCTTCTTTTATTTTTATTTTATTTTTTTTTTTTTTTCATTATTTATTCATTTCTCTTCTCTCTCTCTTCCCTCTTTTCAGATACAAGAAATGCACCAGCATCGGCATGGAGCGGGCGTGGGTGATGTCAGAGGAGGACAGAGCTCAGCTGATGAAGCAGAGAGCCGAGAGGAGAGCGAAGCAAGGCGAGGATAGCAAGAAGGGGCTCAAGGAAGGCAAGAGGGAACTGTTGCCATACGAGCCCGATATGGCAACGATGCTCAATTATATGACGGAGCAGGTTGTGTTGTTTGTTTTGTTTAATTTTTGGCTTTTTTTTTTTTTCGTTTTTCGTTTTTTTTTTCTTTTTTAGATCTTTTACTTTTTCTTTTTTTCTTCTTTTTCTTGTTTTTCTTATTTTTTTCTTTCCTTTTTTCTCTTTTTCTTTTTCTTTTTTTCTTTTTCCTTTTTTCCTTTTTTTTCTTTTCTTATTTTTTCTTCTTTTCTTGTTTTTTTCTTTCTTTTTTTCTTTTTTCCTTCTTTTTTTCTCCTTTTCTTTCTTTTTTTCTCTTTCTATTTTTTCCTTTTTCCTTTTTTCCGTTTTTCCGTTTTTCCTTGATTGTTATCATTTCTGTGATTAAAATATTAAATATTGAATTAAAAATCATCCTTGATTGTTATCATTTTTAGATTCTGTGATTAAATACTCATAAATCACTGATAAAACTCATAAATCACTCATGAATTATGAATTACTCATAAATCACGTATAATCACTCATGAATCACCCATGAATTGCTAACAAAATGCTCATTAAATCACTCATAAATCCCATATGGATCACTCATTAATTTCTCGTTGTCACTCAAAAATATCTCACAAATCACACATAAATTACTCATAAATCACACGTATGTATCACTCATTGGTTACTCATTAATTACTCATCACTCAATCACTAATAAATCCCTCATCACTCACTCATAAATCACATTCATCACATATTTTTCACTCATTAATTCATCATGAATCACTCAATCCCTCATCAGTAATTAATCCCCATCACTCATAAATCCGTCATCCCTCCTTAATCCATCTATCACTCATCCTTCCCTAATCACTCATAAATCACTCATTGCTCATAAAACCTTCATGATTCATAAATCCCTCATCCTTCATAAATCATTCATTAGTTCTTTATCACTCATGAATGCCTCGTTCTTCTTTCATCTCTCATTAATCCCTAGTCCTCATTAAATACTCACAATTCCCTCATCGCCTATCAATCCCTTATCCCTCATCAATTACTCATTAATCCGTCATCCTTTTAATCACTCATAAATCACTCGTTTCCTTCATCATAAATTCATCCCTTAATCCCTCATAATTCATTTTTTCTTATTTCCTCATAAATTACTCATCACTCATTAATCCCTCAAAAATCACTTATTAATCCCTCATCACTCATTAATTCCTTATAAATCACTTACCAATCCCTAAGCACTATTTAACCCCTCGTCACTCATTAATCTTTCATGACTCATTAGCCCCTCATAGATAACTCATTAATCCCTCACCATTCATTAATCTCTAATCCCTCATAGGTCACTCATTAATCCCTGATCCCTTATAAATCACTCATTAACTTATTAATTTATTATTCAGGAATCACTCATTGATCTCTCATCCCTCCTTACTCCCTCATAATCACTCTTTAATCCCTCATAAATCACTCATTAATCCTTCATCACTCATTAGTCCCTCATCATTCAATAATCCTACTTCGCACATTAATCCCTCATAAATCATTTATTAAGCCCTCATCACTCATAAATCCCTCATAAACCAATCATGAACCCCTCATCACTTATTAATCTTTAACCCCATAGATCACTCATTAACACCTAATCCCTCATAAATTACTCATTAATCGCTTATTTTCCCTAAAGCACTCATTAATCCCTCATCAGTTATTCCATCATAAATCACTCTTTAATCCCTCATCCCTCCTTAATCCCTCGTCAGTCATAAACCACTCATTAAACCCTTATCACTTATAATAACTCATTAATCCTTCATCCCTTGTTAATCCTTCATAAATCACTCCTTAATCCCTCATCATTCTCATCTCTTATCCCTCATTAATCCCTCATCACTCATTAATCCCTCATCCCTCCTTAATCCCTCATCCCCCAATCCCTCATAAATCCCTCATCCCTCCTCCCCCTCAATCCCTCATAAATCCCCACCACCACCAGGAACGCGACGAGGTGGAGCAGGCCGTGCGCAACTACCAGCTGGCCTACCACGACGTGCCCTACAAGAACGACCTCAAGCAGTTCAACGTGGGTCGTCCCAGCGTGCAGATCATCAACATGTTCACCACAGTCGTGCGGCGGTTCGCTTATTCGCACGGCTGTTCCCGATTTTTGCGAGCTCCCTTCGCAGGTTGGTTGTAGGCGGAGTGGGGGGGGGATTGGGGTTGGAGGGAGGTGGGAAGTGGATAGGGGGGGGGGGGTAGGGGGGTGGGAGGGAGGGGAGGTGGATGAAGGGTGGAGGGGGAGGGGAGGATGGGGAGAAGGGCGGGTGGGGAGAGAGTGGTGGGAGGGGGAAGGGAGGAAGGGGAGGAAGATATAGATTGAGAGAGGAGAGAGAATGAGTTTGAGAACAGAAGGAGAGAGAGAAAAAATATGAATGAGAATGAAGAGAGAGAAAAAAAAATGATAAGAGAAGATAGAGAGAGAAAAGTAACATACAAAATAGACAAAGAAAAAGGAAAACTAAAAAAAAGACCGACATTCAAAACAACCATCTAAACCTCCCTCCCTCCCCCCCCATCCTACAGGACCAGGGCAGCCTCCTCCGCGGCGGGATCCTGGAGATGTCCCTCATCCGCGGCGTCCAGAGCTTCGACACGGACAACAACCGCTGGCCCAACACCAAGGAGCAGATCTACAAGGACGCCCCCACGCTACGAGTCGAGGACATGAAGAAACTCGTCAGCTGCGAGTTGTACGACATGCACATGAAATTCATCTTCAGCATGAAGGACCTGAACGTGGACGAGCCCGTGATGATGATGCTGCTGCTCATTTTCTGTTACGAGCGACAGACCGGACTGCAGGAGACGGCGCGGATCAAGCTCGACAGGGATCACTTGTCAGTCTCATAGTATAAGGGCCTTCGTCAGCGTCATAAGGTATAGTCAGGGTCAGCGCGTCAGCCTCATAGGTATAATAAAGGTATAAGGGGGGTATACATAAGTCAAGGTGTGTCACTCGGAAAGGGCGACCTTCGTGTGTTTTCCGGGCTTTTTTCTCGGGGAGTCGTGGGGTGTTTTTTTTCTTTCTTCTTTTCTTTTTTTTCTTTCTTTCTATTTTTTCTTTCTTCTTTCTTTCTTTCTTTCTTTCTTTCTTTCTTCTTTCTTCTTTTCTTTTCTTTCTTCTTTCTTCTTTCTTTCTTTCTTTCTTTTCTTTCTTCTTTTCTTTCTTTCTTTATCTTTCTTTCTTTTTTTTTCTTTTTTGTTCGGTGCTTTGAGCTCTTGTTTGTCTTTATTTTCCTTTTGTAGTTTCGTTTGGTATTGTGGTATTGCTTTTTTCATATTTCCTTTGTATTTTCATTTGGTATCGTGGTATTGCTTAGTTTTCTCATATTTCTTTAATAATCTCATTTGGTATCGTGATATTGCTTAGTTTTTTCACATTTCCTTTGTATTTTCATTTGGTATCGTGTCGTTGGTTGCTGATAAAGCTTATTTTTTTCATATTTCTTTTGGTATTCTCATTTGGTATCGTGTTACTCGGTATTGCTTGATTTTCATTTTTTTCCATCCCTTGTCTCTCACTAATAACTCACTTGTTGCAAAGGAATGTTGCAAATAGGTTTATCGTCTTGAAATCCCTTTCTTTATTTTTTCTTGTATCACTAATATCTTTCCAAGTCAGTCACTTCCAAATTCATGCAACTACCATCGTGTTTGATAAACTTTTAGATCACATAAATGTTTTAAACGTTTTAAATAAACTAGTTAGATACATAAAATAAATGTAGACGTTTTAAATAAACTGTTTAGATACATCACATAGATATAGACGTTTTGAATAAATTATTTAGATACACCGCATAAATATAGACGTTTTAGATAGACTATTCAAAGACATCACTAAATAAGACGTTTTAATAAACTATTTAGACACATCACAATAATGACAACATACATTTGAACCCAGACCAGCTGTTCTCAAATCGAGATCTTCGAGAGCTCTAACCCGGCCTCCTCCTCCTTCAGGAAATACATGAACTGGCGCTACGGCCCCCACAACGCCACCATCATGTACCCGCGCCTGCTCATCAAGCTCACCGACCTACGAGAGCTCAACGACCAGCACAACGAGTACAACCTCAAACTCGCCAAGCAGGAGGTGCGTCTTCCATGAGCCATCCGCTCGAGCTCTGCCTTCTGTTGTTTTAACCACAAGCATGATGAGGACAAAAGGCTTGACTGTTATTTCTGCATGCTCTTTGTTATATGGTATATGCTTTGAGGATAGTATCTTTTGCCATCAGATGATCATCATAGATTAATAGACGTCGGGATGGTTTGATATGCAGCCACACTGAGCACATTAAGTTTATTCTGTTTACTGCCATGATGAGGGACGGTGAGCGGTAGCTTTGACACATTCTACATTCACATTTATTGAATATATTGCAATTATTTTCGCTAGTCACTGAACCCTTGCGTCATCCAGTAACTCTTTCTGACTTCCAGGTAGCAGAGATCCAGATGCAGCTCGGCCAGCTGAACCTGAATCCATACACTGAGTGGCCACACTTAATGCAGCACCCTAGTGTCTCTGGATCTTCCTCTGACCCACAGGCACGTGCCCGCGCCTCCGCCGGGGTATTCCAGATGCCCCCGGCCGTCACGTCGGCTATGGCCGCCTCGGCGTCTCAAGCGGCGTCGACCTCAAAGGGCGTCATGGGCGGTCTGGCTGAGGGTGTGGGCGGCGAAGGCGGGGCGGGGGCGGGGGCGACGGCGGCGGCGGCGGCAGCGGCGGCCATGGCGTCCATGGACTTCGAGCAGCTCGCCAATAACCCGAGCTTCCAGAAGATGATCATGCAGCAGTTCCAGAAGTCGATCATGAACGTGCTCAGCTCGCCCAACTTCGGCCTGGGAAGTCTCCTTCCCGACGGGCGCAGCGGCCAAGCGCCTCTGCAGAGCGACGCTCCTCAGCAGCAGCTACAGCCACCAGCAGCACAGCCAGCTGCACAAGCCCCATCCATTGCTCAGCATATACTTCAGCAACAGAAGATGCAGCAGCAGCAGCAACAGTCCCAGGGGGGCGGCGGCCAGGCCCCGGGCGCGAGCCAGGGGGGCCCCTCCGGGTTCCCGAGCTCCGACCTCATGACGCAGCTCGACTACCTGGAGACGAACCAGCCGGGGAACCTGCAGAGCATTCAGCAGTCGCAGCAAGCCTTCCAGCAGCTGGAACATCAGCTGATGAGTAATATCGGCAGCTACGGAAGTTACGGGGAGCACACTCAGCACCAGCTCCAGCAGCAATACCAGCAGGCCCAGCAGCAGGCTCTGATGCAGCAGCAGCAGCAGCATCTCGGCCACCAGCAGGAGCTGCCCGAAGCCATGCTGGTCATCCCGAAGGAGGAGCCGACCACGCCGTCGCCGCCCGGAGTGCAGCACCTCCCCCAGCCTCAGCCCGAGCACCACCTGCTCTACGAGGGGCAGCACGTCGCCCTGCGCCAGGCCCGGCAGCACCTGCCCGCCGCGCACCACTCGCCCCCCGCGCAGCGCCAGCAGCAGCGCCCGCACGCGGCGGAGGCGGAGGGGGCGGGCGAGGAGGGGGTCAGCACCCCCCAGAAGCGCAGCTCGCTCAGCGACCTCGGAGGCCTGTTCCAGTTCCGGACGCTGCTCGAGGAGTTCGCCACGCTGGACAACCCGGAGCAGCTGGAGCAGGTGAAGCAGATCCTGGGCCCGGACCTCGTGAGCTCGCTGCAGCAGAAGCTGATCGCCTCCTCCGCGCAGGCCCAGGCGGCCGCCGAGGCGCAGCACCACTCGCAGCACCAGCAGCCGCCCCCACGCCCCCAGCACCACCCCCCTCCTCCGCCTCAGCACCCGCCCCCCCATCACCCGCCCCCACCACCACCCCCTCCGCTGCCCCCACCACCAGCCGCCGCAGCCGCCGCCGCCCGCGCAGCACCAGCAGTCGATGCCGCACCACCACATGTACCTGTCGGAGGGCGCGTACCCGTACTACCCGAGCGGCGAGTACCCCGGGCCTCCGATGGGCGCCGCCTACCAGGGCGCCTCGACGTCCTACGCGTCCTCCGCGCACGCCACGTCCCCGCCGCCCCAGTACAGCGCGGCGGAGCCATCGTCCTTCTGCAGGAGCCAGCACCGAATCACGCCCCCGGTCATGGGCGGCGGCGACGCGCCCGCGCCCTCGACCTCCTTCATGCCTCCGGACAACACGGGCGTCGTGTACCAGTACCACCCCGACGTGGTACAGAACGTCACCACCACCAACTGATCCCAGTGGCCTCGTAG